AATTTCCGTGCACGTGTGTGAAGAATGTATATGTATAAGTATTCTCCGATTAACATTTAAGTGTGTTGATTGAGCGTGGCTAGCTCAGGAGTGGCCGGAACTACTTGCGGAGTTATCCACGCATTTGAAATACAAGCAGAGAGAGCGTTGCCATGGGCAGCGGTCATTATTGTTTTGAGAGGTCCGTTATAGAAAATAATGACCGGTAGAACGTTTTGAAATTACATTCAAATCAATGGAGCGTTCTACTGCTGCTCTGAGGAGCCGTATAATAAGATATTTTAAGCGAAAAGGAACCTAACTTTCAGGCGCTATGTTGCAATAGTTCAAGTTTTTGTAATCAGGCATTCATATGTACCAGCCTTGTACCGTACTTTTCTTCAACATCATGTCTCATTTGTGGATTGAATCAAAACATTTCCTTTCATTTCAGCAGATTAACTTGAGAAAAGTGTGCGCACCTGAAAAACTACAGAATTCAATTGGTACTTTTGCTGGCCTTTATGTTCTATACACAAAAACAACACAATTCATTACTGATTTCACTACTTTCTGATTATCAAGACTTGAGTGGCACATTGGTCGAGTGGTTTGTGCTCTTTCTCTGCAGCAACAAAGTCCTGGGTTCAAATCCAGGGTCTTTCTGAATGGAGTTTGCATGTTCTCCCCGTGTTTTCATAGGTTTCCTCTGAGTATGCTGGTTTCCCATTATACCACTAAACTATAGTCACTTATAGTCACCTATTTGGCCCATAAGATACCATTTATCTGTTGTAACTTTTGAACTCGATTTGCACATTTCTTGTTTGCAAATGTCTTTCGCACACCCTGAGTGATTCTATAGGTGCCAAATGTAACATGTAAATGTATCCACCGTGAGAACAATAACGTTTTATCTTGTCTTATGTACAATAGGCAAAACCAGTTCTGGACGCTCTGACCAAGCCCAGAATCAACAACACATGGGTCCCTGGGCGCTGTTCTATAGACAACACTGCTCCTGACCCAGCACCGCATAGGACAATTCAGTAAGACTTAACTTGTTGAAGCCTGGGATGTAAAATGGAAATCAGGAGTGGGCATGTTTTCAGCCATTAGTGCTCTTACTGCCATCTCCCTCTGCCATCTCATTACACAGCACACGCTCTCAAGAAGACATGTACCTCTGCAATAAACATGAGCTGTCCGAGCCTCCGCTGCCTCCGCTGCCTCCCAGAGACTGCGACCAAGTGTCTGTGCTGCCGAGTAGATAAAAAAAGGACAGGGATATTTTAGGAAGATGCTTTATATTTTTTATCGTCAGGAATACAGACTGGCCAGAGAAGAGACAGCTGTGAAAAGTCCATGTTTAAGTGTGTATTTCACTTATGGAGAGTTTAATGTCAACACGTACTTGCTATAGACCACTGTGTTACTTTTGAGAAATTAAAAAATGTATAATTGTCGAAGCAACGGTATCTTTGACATTGAGTGACAAGAACAGCTACCTGATGAGATGGGCCAAGAATCTGCCTGGAAGAGTTTAACGCTCTTTAGGGCTGGGTCGGGTGACTGCGGAACGAGTGCTTAACTGACCAGAGAACTGGTTCGGAGGGGAGCCATAGAGTGAATGAAAAAAGAAAGAAGCAAATAGTTGAATTGAATTATGTATTCTTATTATATGAGTAGGTGCCCTCAATGACAATGAGGAAAAAAACAAACAAATATGCAGGATTCAAAACAAAACAACTACGATGAAATGAATGAATGTGTTAAATAAACAAAACAAAAAGAAAACAGGCAACTCGTGTCCTATGAGTTCTTTCTATACAGTTCTATATAAGTTCCGTTTGGTCGAATCGTTTCAATATCCGGAAGTTATTTGTAAATCCAAAACGTTTGTAAAATCCAAAAGTTATTTGTAAATCCAGCAACGAATCCAGTTTTTTATATGCGGTGGGGGCTCTTAGCTCGCCATCATAGTCCACGAGGAGGGGTGAAGGGAGGGGTGAAAAAACCTGACCGCTGAGCGTAGGAGGGATGTCCTAGCTCGAGGCAAAGCAGCGGTGATTCAGCTGATTTTATGGCAGCAGATCCATGGCAGAACAGTCGCAGCAGCGGATAGTAGCAGTAGCATCACAACAGTGAGTGCAGCACCATGAGAGGGGGGAGGACAGGGGGCAGCGCCAGGTTAAAGCATCACGTCCGGTGGCTGCGTGGGTCACACGGGATTACAACTAAACTAAACTACGTGGGTTACAAGAGACTTGGAAATTGCCCCATAATTCCTGAATAATATGAATAAATAGAATCAACACAGCATGTATGATGTTGTAAAAAGACAATGGTTTTCGACCCAAATCCCTGGGTTTTGAACTTGAATTCTAGCCCAAACATGATCTTATCTTAAATAGCTCCATAGACTATTGGAGACCCTTTATAATCTATACTAATTTCCCTCTAAATCTGTTGAAATTAAAAGTAATATACCCATCTCTATAAATATTACAAATCAGCTATTCGCACAAAGGCGCATTATTTTACACACCGATGGAATCAAAAATGTATGGACTGTTTTAGATAAGATAAAACAGACTTTATTGATGTCACAATGGAGAAATGTACCAGAAGAATTTTGGAAATGTCTCCCTACTTTTTTCCTTTGCAGCCCTAACACATGTGAAACTTTGTAAAGCAGTGACATTGTTACTTCTGTAATTCAACTTTTTGATTTTTTATTTTTAGCAAAAAGAAACTCAACACGGAGAATCACTCAAGGGCTTCATGTTGCAATGGTTCAGGGAAAGTACTATATGCACAGCTTTGTACCTTTGGCTTTTCTTCAACATATGTCTACTTTTCAGATCAAACACCATCCTCTCCACTATTGCTCTCATTTTATTATTGACATTAAGTCTTTTCTTTCCTCCATTGGCCAAACCTACTTCAATCTCTCTTTTGACTGTTTGTTTATAGTTATCTTCAGCAAATCCATTTTATATCAAATCATCAGTCGATCCTCACCAAATTCACTGAGACATCCACACATACACATGCACACACACACACCTGGGCGGCATGGTGGCTGAGTGGATAGCACTCTCGCCTCTCAGCAAGAAGGTCCTGGGTTCGAATCCCGGTTGGACCAGGGCCTTTCTGAGTGGAGTTTGCATGTTCTCCCTGTGTCTGCGTAGGTTTCCTCCGGGTGCTCCGGTTTCCCCTACCACTAAAAATATGTACAATAGGTCTGGCATGTGCCTCCTGTACTGGCACCCCCACTCCCAAAAATAACAATTGTAAACCGCTTTGAGACTCCGATGTGCAGTGAAAAGGCACATTTATTTATTTATATAAATAAAGATTACTTACTTACACCTTCCTTTTCGTTTCCCCTGTCTTGTCTGGGCCCTTGTAACTATATTGATAGTGTTTGTTGAAATTGTCCTGTCTAATACTTGTTCTGTCTATATCATATCATGGTCTCACAGGCCAGCTGAGAGACATAGTCCCTCCTGGGTCTTCCCCGGGGCCTCCTCCCGGTGGGAAGTGCCGGAACAGATGCCCGAGCCACCTCAACTGGTTCCTCTCGATGTGGAGAAGCAGCGGCTCTTCTCCGAGCTCCTCCTGTGTGACTGAGCTCCTCACCCTATCTCTAAGGGAGCACCCAGCCCCTCTGCGGAGGAAGCTCATTTCGATCGTTTGTATTCTCCGTCCTTTCGGTCATTACCCAAATGACCATAGGTGAGGGAGGGAACGAAGATTGACCGTTAAATCGAGACGGCACACTGCACACTCTGCACCAATCTGCCTGTCAATCTCACGCTCCATCCATCCCTCACTCATGAACAAGATCCCGAGATACTTGATCTCCTCCACTTGAGGAAGGAAACCTGTGTATACTATTCATAGTTTTTGACGTATACAAATACATCCATATTGTGCTAAGAAATGCAAGTGTTTTAGTTTTACCAAAATAAACCATACAATGAATGTGTCACATCTGGCAATGAACCACACAGAGATTCAGCTTTTCTCAATCCATATTTATTTCCTGTTTGCCCACGTTTGGAGCATTGATCTGTGAGTGCGCCCCTCATCGATCCTTCACATGAATTTATCAGTGCAGCAATGTCGATACATCTCTTCTCAGCGACTGCTTCTGTCAGGACACATTTCACTCAGCCCTGATGCGTCACATGACATTCAGCTTTTGAGGAAAGGCTTCATTGCAGCGAGTTTAGCAATTTCGTCTATGCAGGAGTGTGTGTCTCATGCCGGTCACGTACAGTCACATGTTTTCGCAGCATATTTTTAGACCCAAATATTTCATAATTCGATTCATAATCATAAAATATAAAAATGTAGAACTGGCTTTTGAAAAGGGCTTAAAAAGTGTCACATGATTGGCTGGTTTTCTGGGATAACAGATGGAAATTGTGTGTGAGTTGTTTGTTTACATCAATCTATCAATCAATCCAATTTTATTTTTTCAATTTTATTTTTATACAATACATACAATCTCACTTGCAACCCGATCACCCAACAGACCCACCCCTAAACACATGCACACGCACACCTACACACATGCACGCACACACACAGACACTCTGTGGTAGTTGTGGATGAGGTTTTCTCTCTTCTCTGCAAAAATCTTTCAGTTTCTGTAAATGTAACTCAACTGTACATTTGACTTCTCCAGAGACCGTCTCAGTGATGTCCTAATGTGAAACTGGAAAACCTGTTTATTAGTCAACTAACATTGTATTATTATTAAGGTCTTCCAAAATATGGCTACCACAACAAAATTCTTGCAAGGGGGTGTAAGCTTTCTGTTACAGTATACACATTTCTTATGCTTCTTCTACTGATACTTCTACAGTAAATTCTACTGATGCAACACTATAGAATTTACTCAAGGTCTGTGGTATGTCACAAACATCGACTCTACAAATAGTTCTGAAACCACAATGTGTGAAAACTTTACAAGAAATGTGTGGCATTCCTCTTTTTCAGCCCGGGCTTTATACCGTCACGGCCTTCCACAATGTCCGACACTCCTGCAGGCCTTGTAAACCCAGGGACCACCACTGCCCCTCACCTCCTATGGCCAAGTTGAAGTCTCCTTTCCCCCCATTGGTCAAACAGCTGTCCGTCTCCCCTCCTCCCCTCGTCTCCTTTGTTGCGTCGTCTGGCTTTGCTGTGTGCTCCGCGACACCATAACAAGCCTGGGTAAACAATGTTAGCTCCTGGGGCCCACCTATGAACTTCCACCTCCTCCACGGCTTCCATCTCTCTGTGCAGGCCTCTCCGGACATCCCGCCATGCAAGAAGCAATTAAAGCCTCAGATAGGGCTCCATATATCTCCATAAACTTCAGCCGGCCACTCGCACCCCCACTTTCGCTCCACAGACCGATAATGCATGCTTTCTATACGCTTCCTCCCTTAAAAGGACTACTAAGCACTAAAGGAGACAATGGAGGGTCAGCAAATATGTTTTTTTCTATTGGCATCTTGAATGTTTGTAAGTTGCACTGCTCAACTTTTCTATGGTGCATCAGTGTGTTGCCAATGCAGATGTCATCACTTTGCTTGTACATTATTTCATTAATGGAGACTGTGCAGATTGATTGCGGCCTGCGGTATGCATGCTCAAGGCTTCTGCAAAGGGTGCGCATCTGAAATTAGTCCTGTGGTTTCTGCAGCACTAGCATTTCCAAAAACCTTCTGACAAGCCTTTCCATGAGCCTTTCCATGGGCCTTTCCACAATCCTTTCCAAAAGCCTTCTAACGAGCCAATCCAAAAGCCTTCTAACGAGCCTTTTCACAAGCCTTTCCCCCATACTTTCCACCAGCCTTTCCAAAAGCCTTCTCACGAGCCTTTCCACTTAAAAATATATGTGAAAATATGTGTACAGGACGTCACACAGACATAAGGTCAAATTTGCAAAAAGATTTCAGAAACATTTTCACATACGTTTTTTTTTGTAATCACAAAACGTTCACATAATTCTTCTTTGAAGATGCCACACAAGAAACATTTACAAGGGAATGAGTGAATACAGAAAATATTGTGGGAAACAAAGAGGGAAAGGTCCGAGGTACTCTGCATTTAAAATAATTATTCAAGTTATATTTTCATTTTAGGTCAGATTGCCTCGAACTTTTTGTTTTCTACTCGGTTGGTATATTTATTTTATTGGTAGACAAAGCCAGGGTAGTTTTTGGATGAAATGGTATGTCTGTTTGAGTGTTTGCTTTTGTATATGAAGGTTTTAAAATACCAGTGGATTGTGAGAACTAGAGCTGAATTACTTTGAACATGTTGCAATCGCTTTAAGAGGAAGACCTAAGAAGAAGCTGTAACAGTGGTGTAATCGGCTTGAGACAAACGCGTGTATGAAAGATGCCAAAGTAGGATTTACTAAATATTTGGCTGTGAATGCTCATCGCAAAAATACACACAGAGTCATTTGAGAAGGTGCTGCTCAGGAGTAAACCTCAAAGACACTTATCTGGACAGGAAGGCCTTGTTTTGGCGGAGGAAAAGTCTGTTTCCTCTTTATCTCCGTCTTAAAAAGCAAAACCGCTGATGTTCGGCCTTCTGTGACACCTCCAAACAAACAGGATTATCACATGTGAACGTCAACATTGTCAGAAAAAAACCCTTTGTCAGGTAAATCTGAATGTGAGGAAGGTTTTATGGCAATGGAAATATGGATAAAAAAGTAATGAGATATACTCTATGAAAGCTGGAGAAACTCATTTGTTTGTCCCAATCTCATTAGAAAACATGTTATCTTCAGCCCTGGCAGTCACTATTTGACACTTTGGGCTGAAAGTTGATTGGCTGAGCAAAAGTGGTTTCTCTCTCTTTCACTTTATCCTGAAATAAGTGAAAGAACTCATCAGATGGACACTATCACATCGTTTCAATTGTTTTGGTTTGAAAATCAGGTCCCCCAGATTTAATATCACACAGATTTTGGCCATTTCTAATCCAGGCAGACAATATTCATTCAGATCAGCTTTTAACACACAGCTACAGTATTTCTATCTTGACGCACGTTCTGGGGCCAATAAAGCTGTCTCTGTGTTGATGGGTAAAGTTAACTAAAACAGAACCCTCCAACAGATGTTATAGACACACAGGTGCTGACCTATAACTGGAAGTCACTGCAGTATACCTTCAAAGTCTGACCCCATCTGGTCACTATGGGGAAGTATTCTCAGTCAGTCAAGTCATTCCCAGTGCAAATATTATTGTACAAGCAGCATGATGAGATTGTGTGAAATAATAGATGTATAGATAATAGAACAGTTTTGCTCTTGTACACAGGCTTTAGAGTCATGCTTTTGATTGATTCTGTTTTAAGATGGAAAAAAAAGAGAACATTATGAAAAAAAAAAACTACCTTTATTGTATGAGCATTCTTCTGGTTGACTGTGAAATTGAAGATACCCCCCACAAAACCAAAAGTCGACCCAACTTTCTTGCATCAAACATTTTTATGGCCGTACCTGCATGTTAAAGCCGGATCCTGTGATACCTCTGCTGCTAAGCAGAGCAGGTTAGTACTGTGATGGGAGACCTCTGTGAGCAGGTGCCACAATGGGGCAGCTGTAAAGTGTCAAACTACTGTTGTGACCTTAGGCAAGACACTTAGTATACATTAACTACAATGAGTCTGGGTGTGTGTGAGTGACTGGTGGTGGTCAGGGGGGCTAATGGCACATACTGTAAGGCAAGGAGAGGCTGTGGCACCTCGCTTCTGTTAGGGGTGAGTTTTGAACCCCAAAGCAGAGGGAGGCCAAAGCAGTTTTGTGTTTGACTAATTGAAAACAAACCCTAGTTAGACCCGCAGCTTTATGATTGGTCAAAATTAATTATAATCCTTGAGGCTCCTCGTCACTGGTTTACTGTTCTCCTCCAGAAAATCTTACTAGTCAAAGTTATGCCAAGGGGAAAGACTATTTTAAATATATAATACTCACTGTATATAGTGGGCTGATGCCCGATGATCAGGAATATACAGTACATTTTCTTAAACATCAAGTACACATTAAGCTGCAAAGTTAGTCATAGAGAATACTTGTTGGATTCTCTACTCAACCGTGGTGGATGAAAGCGTTTTCCTTGGCTTCCTCATTTGGAGCACTTCTGACTGTTGCTCAGTTCCCCACGTTTGATCCTGATGTCACCCGGGCTAGTGACGTGAAATGCTAGTTCACATAATTTTTACTAAATTATGATGCACAACTATGCATTCGAACATCTCAAACCACCATGTAGAAAGACAGTATAATCTCTGAAATGCCTGCCTTGAAATGTCATGATATAGTTGTCCAGGTGCAGTGTAAAAGATCTAAAAGGCTTTTGCGCAAAGATAGCTGTACACATATTCTGTCACCAATCTCCCATTGACCCCCAGCGCTACAGTTTTCAGTGGGATCGTAAAACCTGGTCTGGTAGTGGCAGCCGATACAACTCATTCAACCATTCCTCTCTTTCTCTCCCTCTCTCCTCACGCTGCTGTCTTTGAGGCAGTGATATCACTTTACCGGGTCACCAGAATTCCCAGAGTCATTGCGGGGACATGGTGTTCACCCCTTGACTCTTTTACCTCTTGAACCTCAAGGAGTTTGCATATTTTTTCCCCCTTCCCCTCCTTCAAGACCTCAATACTGCCAGCCGGTGACTTACTGTAAGAATCCAAGGCTAAGGAAAGGTGTAAAGAGGTACAATGTTTACAATGGTAACTGGGATTTTCCCCATTTTAAAGCCACTCAGTTCCAATGTATTTTCGTTGAGTCATAAATCACAACGGCAGTCATCTCGGAGGACTGTACAATGTTGTCGATTCACCAACTACAGATCAGAGAATCAAGATGTTCACAGGAAATGCAATAATGACAAGCACATAAGAGCCATTGGTCCATAGTGAGCGGAATGACCAATGTTCGTAAATGCTGAAATGAATTTGATTTGAAGACTTTATTTTGAGCCATACAAAATTACGAAATTATGCGCTATACAGAAAACACTGCACCCACACAGATGCTAAAAAATTTCCATAAATGTCCTTTAATATGCCAGATCTTCATTGTCCTTGGACCCAGCTGCATCGTCAAGGAACGACTCAGATTCAGATCAGATTCATTTTATTTGCCATTTGCAGTAAAACCACATTGGAATGCATTTTCAAAAGCCTACATAGTGCACAAGACAGGTACATAAATAAAACAAGATTATACGTACTAAAAACCAAAGTGAGAAACCTTGGGGAGGCCCACATTGAGAGAGGGATCCGCTCCCACAGACGGATGGGCTATAGATCCAGGACTCAGGCTGTAGGACAGGGTAAAGTGAGAGCATTTCCTTCTATGTCTATAATTATTTGCTTGTGTGTGTACGTTGTCTTGTCCCTATAAAACACAGGTTGGGAAACATTCCAACAGACTCCAGTGAAAGTAAATAGCGACGGAGTGACGAGGGAAGCTGATACGGATCTGGCGCGGACATGCCGACCGGCTCATCTAACATTAATGGCAGAGTAATTGGTTTGTAACCGTAACACTTACAAGGACATCAATAATGAGCGCTGAGGTGAGGCTAAAGTTACAGGCGGCGGATAAGGGCCCGATTGTGCTGGGGCCCGGCCGGGAGCGTTCAGCTGAATGGGGCCCCCTGGTTATGTTGGACAAATATTTATGCAGTGTTGGGTTGCAGGGACATGGGAGCAGGGAGAGACTAGAATAGGAAGGGTGACGTGGAAAGGTGCACACTCGTAGAAGGACTCTAATCGCAGGATCTGCTAATAGTCCGTGCAGCGATCAAAGCTCAGGGAACATAACGATGACAGCGATACGAGTGCTTTAAGTGTCCAGGTGGAAGTCAGATTTAGTATGACTGAGGAATTTGAAACTCCATCTATGTATGTCCATCTAACCCTTGAGACAAGGGAAATGCATGATGTAGTATTTCAATGCAATTAAATTCAATGTATTCTTGTATAGCCCTAAATCACAAGTTATCACAACTTTGCACAGGACTTTACACTAGGGCTTTGACTTCGAAATTTGATATTCAAATATAATTTGAATGTAAAAAAAATAAAAAATAATGTTCTTAAAATAGTTTGATCCCAAAGGTTTCGCCGGGACGTGGCTAGGCGGATGACAGTTAAGCTAGCTAGTTCAAAAACTCTCTCAAACTACATGAAAACTGAACAATTCTGAATTCTGAACATCACCAGTGAGATACTCATTTATATACTGGACCTATATCCATAGATCAGATCCTCTTCAAGATTGTC